TTTTTCTCCCATAAGGCTTAAAAATGGAGTAAGAAATCATAATTTCACCAGTAGCCCCATCTAGAGTTTGGAGCAAATAGCACAAAAAATGTCAGTTGTCGGTTTTGACCTTGGTCATTCACGTGGAACCTCTATGTGCTTTGTGAGTTTAACGTTACAAGTTACTTTGCTATCATATTCGGTAAAGGGCCAACAACGTGCCACAATTTCAGTGTTGGGGAGTTATACAAGTTTTATATAAAAATGAATACAGAAAATTTTTCTTTATGCTGTTTAGTGTTCAGATATTATTTTTCTTAAGAACATTTTAGTTAATTTCTAAAATATAGGACTAAATTTTATTTAAATGCAAAAATAGCGGGCTTTCGACTATGTTCGGTATTATTGGCGGCCAAGGTGGCAGGAAACCACCTCTAATCATTGCATAAAAAGCAGGATATCGATTCTAGATTCGCAGGAATGTTTGACATTTTTTATGCATAGGAAATTCTATAGAAAAGGGTCCCTACTTACAAGTCGAGAATCGATCCCCTGGAATTCATCAATAAACCGTCGGTAAAGCAGATTACTATTTCATTTAAGTTGTGAAATTAAGATATTCGACTGTAGATGGCCCTAAGGGTATTTATATAGTAGCATTGTACAGAGAAGCAAGTTAGGGGATTTCGAAAAAGAATTAAAAAAATATTCTTCTGCGTGATACCTACTATAAGATTATGCCGTGCCGAGGGCTGAAATCTCTTGTTAACTCACTAGCCAAAAAGAAAGCTAATCAAATACTTTTTGGACCTGGCCCTTCGATTGGACTGACAACATCGATATCGATAGTGACAAACCTAATTAAAAAATATTTCCTTGTGTAATTCAAGGAAAAACTGCAGAGTTGCCAGGAAGCTTTTAAGTTATCCCAACAAAATCACATTAAACAAATACTTGACTATTTTTAGACAGAATTTGCGCCTGATCGCAGGCATTCTGACTGGTCATTGTCAAGTACGAAAGCATCTCTATAGTATCGGGATGTCAAAATCTGCATTTTGCAGAGGATGCGAACAAGAAGATGAGACCCTCGTTCACATCCTCAACGCGTATTGACCGACACCGGCCGATAAGGATAAGCACCTCTCGGCTACGTTGTCAATTACATCAAATTTGTAAAAGAGGCCTTTTCATTTAATCGAATACACAATGGACTAAATAAGGCCTAAGTGCCGCGAAGGCGATCTACCCTCCATGTTACAGAGATAGTCTGAAGAAACACATCTGTTACAGACGGACTGATAGACATCATTCAGACACCAAGGTAATTCCTTTTTCCCACTTTACGAATGGAACACTAAAAAGACATAAAGATACTGCCTTCACCAATCGATTTTAATTATTAAAAATATTTATTTAAAGCTTAGTAAAAAAATCGAGTACAGGTGCGCGAAAAAAATATGGGACTTTTTAAAACAAAAATATCGACAATTTAAAAAAATAGAGTGGCTAACGAGCTAAAAGAATTCGAGATGGGTCTAATAAGTACCTACGCGGCCCAACTTCCTCATAAATACAGCTTCTTATTGATTAGTCGAAATTTTAAATTTCTTATCAAGTTAATTAACAATCTAATTTTCTCATTTTAATAATGAAATAAGAAATGCAAAAATAATTAAATTATTATCAAACTACTTACGTCAAGAATTTGTGTCCCATAATAATAGTTAATTGCTACACATGGAAAAGATAAACAGTGTAATGCAATAGTTTGTTGACTCGAAAAAATATTTATAATGCAGAATTACTTTAACTAAAGTTACACATTTAAGATTCTTGGAAATACTTTTAAATATGTCGAGTGGTGATACTTTTGTACTAGAAAAATGTAATTAATAGCCAGCAGAGGATGTTTTTAATTAATAGGTGTAAAATGATTTTTTGTTTTGACATTATATTTATGTCACGATTAATACTAGGAAACTTAGAACAGCGGAAATAGACGATCTAAAGTGTTGTACTGGAAAAAAAGGCAAACGAAAAATTGATTTTAAACCCAAGTGGTTCAAAATATTTTGAAGTACCAATACAATTAAAAAAAAACTGATTTGTTCTGGATGAGGTGTAGATTAATATAAATATAATATAAATATTCGAGTTTAAAGGTTCTCCCCAAGGTTAAAAAAATTTGAAAGATGCTCTTCGACTCTCAGAATTAAGCGTAACAAAAAAATTCAAGATGGACGCAGAATGAAAGAAAGATTTGAAAAAGTTATGAAAGTTAATCAAATTCCGAATTCATAGTCCCCTATCTTTTTATGTATAGTGGGGAGGGTGGATTGCTTCACAGCACTTAGGCCACATTAGGGCCGTTGTGCATCCTCCAGGGGAATATAGGACCTGCTTTTCAACTTGCCAAAAACCTGATGGTCGTCGCTGAGAGGTGCCTAGAGACATCCATCTTCCCAGTTCACAAGAAACCTGCTGGTGGACGCTGAGGGCTATCTACACACAGCCATTTTCTCAGCTCGTTAAAATCCTGCAAGTTATAAACTCATCAAAATCCTGTTGGTTGTCGCTGGGGGGTATCTGTGAATAGCCAGCATCTCAGATCAAAATCCTAGAGGTGTCTCCAGATACCCCATTTTTTGTAAAGTGGCCATTTGGTAGGCTTCTACCACCCCGATGTCAGCCCGCTCGACAAAGAAACATTGTCCCCGATATTATGATTATTAATAACAATGAAAGAGCTTCAAATGAAGTGAATCCTGAGCTTTTATCAAATATAAATCTAGCTACATCCACAATAATAAGTTTTTTGAATTAGTTTTCGATGTGACATGGCCTTTGATTATTCTTAAGGAGATCACTTTATTGGTGATAATTTCGTCAAAAGCTTCGTGATATTCTAAAACTAATCCTGAGTAAAATCGTAGTTCAGGGTGAGTAATGCTCGTCTGCTATCTGTATAGGTGAGTATGTTTCTTCTAGTGATATTTGTTCCTGGTAACTTCTTTTGCTGCTATGAGAATCTTCGCGAGCTCTGTTTAAACTACACTGGCACTAAGAATGTCTTTCACTGCTCTGATGGTATTGTTTTCAAGGCTCTTTGAATTTATTCTCGTATGCGGATAGCTTTCAATTTTTGGGTTTTCGGTACCAAGAAAACTGCACGGTATGTAAGCATAGTCTTATAATGGCCGTCTAGTGAGTCTGGTAGGTCCCACAGTTCAACGGCATTTTTCATAAGTAAATGTGTGCTTTTTTTGACTGCGATTTAACTTGCTATCAAAGGAGAGACCAAGGTATTTCATCTCTGTAGCAAAGTTTAGTTAGGATCTCTGAAGGTTTTAGTTTCTTGTGAAAACAACAATCTCTGTCTTCTTGGGATTAATAGACAGTGAATGGTCCTTGCAGCACTGTTCTAAATTTTGAGAGCTAATTACATTACCAGCTGTATTAAAAACAAGTCTGGATTCATAGCATACAGCTATGGGGATGTGTCAGAAAGACGAATATCAACACTTTTTCAAAATAAAGTCTTAAGATGTATTGTTGATGCACTTTGGCCCTATCGAAACGATTACCTTCATAGAGACCTAAATATGGCAACAGTTGAAGAAGAAATAAAAAGGTTTGCTGCGAAACATGAGGGTCGACTCCACTCTCACGTCCAAAAAGAAACACTGCAATTACTGGACAACGCTACACTCAACTGAAGGTTCCCATTTCAGCTAGTGCTCGTGTAAAACAGTATAATAAATCGTCACGCCAACTTGTGATGCCTTCCTCTCAGATAGCCAAGCAGCTTTAAAGGCTCTTGATTCAAACAAAATCAAGTCAAAGCTTGTCTGGAACTGCCTTGGAATACTAAATGAGCTGGCAACCCAAAACAAGGTTAAACTAGCGTTAATACCAGGGCACAAAGGTATCCAAGGAAATAAAAAGGCTGATGAACTCGCCAAAGGGGGATCAGATCTACCATTCACAGGACCCGAACCTATATTTGGGATAAGCAAAACCTTTGCTCGACAGGCAGTGAACAGGTGGATAACCACAAAACACCAAATTCACTGGCAACAGATAAGAGGGCACAGAATCAGTAAGCTCATGCTAAGGGGACCAAGGCTACTGAGGCACTACAACCTGCAAGGCCTCAGATCTCCACCATTGTCGTCGGATTACTGACGCGGCACTGCTTGCTGAAACACCTTCATGTGATGGGATTACACAATGATCCCACTACGTGTAGACTCTGCATGGAAGAAGAAGAAACCTCATACCATGTGAACTTCGAATGCGAAGCTCTTACTAGGCAACGTTTCATCCTTTTCGGCCTAGAACCGGAAAGAACGCCCCAGGAAAACTTGGTAGGAAACCTATTAAAACTAACCAAAGATACAGAACTATTCCAAAATAGTACCTGAATACGAGGAAAGCAGGGACATACAATAGATCTAAGAGGACGCAGTGTTCTGGGCCAAACCTAATTCTATCTGCTTACAACCGATAAAGATGCCTTCCTATAGAAATAATTAAGATAGCTTAATGGGGACTTCTTTTATTTCTAGCCTTTCAGGCATCCCTCTGCTCCCCCGAGGGATTCCGAAATTCCACTAAGACTTAGGTACACTGACTCCCCTCAATTAGGCTTGGGGTCAAGTCTGCTTTTCCTCCTCTTGAGGTTTGCATGGCGGCACTAAGACGCAGATGGTCTTTTGTATCACCATTTGGATGCCCTACTCCCTCCCATTCATCATACATCCATTGGAACTTCTTAGGTACCTAATTAGTTTTTTAGATTAAAATTGTAGGTTAGACAATAATGACTAGTAACAAAACTCAAAAAAAAAAATTAATAAAAATTAAAAAACAAAACCAAAAAAATTGTAGTAAATAGTGGCCCAAAAACAAAAAGTAAATATTTTTGTTAATTTGAGGGTCAGTTTTGGGGGTTATATTTTTACTGGAGTCATAATATCAGGAATAGTCATAGATAAAAATAAAACACATAATTTATACAGAAACAATTTTATTATTCGCCCTATTCTGACTTGGGATGATATGAACGCCATCTCACATACAAAATATTTATAAATTAGAGATAGAAAGGTAAATTTTACGTCTAAAGAAGTTTTTATTAAAAATATCATTCTAACTTTTTTTGTAAATTTGTGCAACTAAAAAATTGTACTTTTGTGATTATACACTTTGAACCATACGGAGTGACTATTTAGAAACTTACAATGGCTACATCTGAAAACGAAAAATTATGTCTTAAACTGCTCGATAAACAATAATTACACTTCAATTTTGAGTGTATTAAATGATTATTTGGAAAATATCTGCTTACTAATTATTATTGTTTCTTTTTTTAATTGGTACAGATACAAATCATTTATTCTAAAGCCGGAAAAAAATTAAATTTTACTTTTAGTGGTGGAATAAGAGATTGAATCATAAATATGATTTTAATATAGAAAGTAAACAATTTCATTTAGGCCTAAGCCTAAGCAGTTCCAAATCTTTTTTTTTGTTCTTTAGATAGTAACATTTGTAATTTTTTAAATTATCACTCCGTATAATACATCTATTGTTTTCAGAAGTAGGTATACATATAAATTAAGTACATCTTTTGAGTATGCAATTTATTAGCCGTGCTGAACATAATGTGGAAATGTGGTAGCTAATTAAAACCATTGTCAAATACGAGGTATTTCTATCTAAATATGATTGGGTTTGAAATATGTAGAGTTTTTTTATCAACTTTCACAGAAACGTATTAAATATTTCGCACATCCGGTGCAACAACGTCGTAAGTGCAAAAATATTGGAAAGTGACTTTTTGGCCACAAATTATGAGCAATCTGCTTCTACATCTGGTACAGCATTGTGGTAAATATACCATTTACAAGAAATAAGCAAATATTAAATCTTTTGACTTTTAATGCAGTTCAGTTTATGACGACCAAAACTTTCAAATGGCCCTCCTCTAAAAACTAGATTTTTGCACTTAAGACATTGTTTCACCGAATGGACGATTTATAAAAGTATTATTATTGTTTTAGGTTAAAAATGTCTTTATTCAGTATATTTGGTTCAAATTTGTTGCAATTATAGAAAAATAGAGTACCCAAAGTATTTTCTGTAATTTTTTCAAATCTTCCAACAAATACGGGCATGGAATATTTATTTGTTTATAAAACTATAATTAGTAAAATGTATCAATAAAACATCAACCAAATATACCAAGCGTTGTACATTTTTATTTAAGGATCGAAATGAAATTACTAATTTTAAACCAGTTGTGTTAAAAAATCAATTCTAATTAGTAAAATAGTAGAATAGCACGCTGGAGCCCATATGGCTCCCAAAGAGACACCTGACTAAGCCAATATATCTCACTACCGCTGACATGGCCTCTAAGTGAGAAATTATTAAATCCGTTTCGAGGATCTAATTAATCACAAATCTGCATTTTTCCGAAAACAATAGATTTAATGTCTATAGAAAGAACAAAGAACACGTAAGTACACATTTAAACACTCTTAGGATTTTTCTTGACTATCGATCGTCGTTTTCAGAGAAACGTCTTTAGTTATATTTATCTGATTGGGCAACTGGGCATTCGGAGACAAAGGAATTGCAGCCGGTAAATTTGTCTTAAGAATATCTTTGAAGTTTTTATCTGGTGGATAATCGGCAACTGCGGACGCTATCGAACTCTTAGTGTCGCTTTCGATACTCGAATTCGAACTCTGACTGTGACTGCTCGCGTGTTTCGACCTCGTTCGACTGTCTTCAGACTTTATGGTGACCGTTTTATGCTCGGCTGCTTCAACGTTCGAAACGTTGTCGATCTTTTTCCACTTTGTTCGACGATTTTGGAACCATATCTTCACCTAAAAAATACAAATATACCAATAATTTACTTTACAGACAGTTATATTTAGATTATATCCCAACAGATCCCAATTAGTACATGTACATGAATTTGAATACGACTGTTACTCAGTAATTTCTGGTGTGCCACAAGGATCTCATTTAGAACCATTATTCTGTATTATATATAGATATACGGTATCGGCTAACGAATACCTTCTAATATCTCTTGGCACAAGTGAGTGTGAAAAGTACAGAGAGCTCCAGCACTAGAGCCAGCAGGAAAGGAAAAAACCAGCGATGACAGCCTATACAGCCTGGCCGACGTTGCAAGGCGATCGGGTCGTATAAATGGCAATGCTGACACCTTTAGTTTCACGCTCGCTCCAATGCCAACTCTCTGTAGCTTTCACACGCACCTGTGCATGTCATATTGGAAGACTTTCGTTGGCCAATAATATATTATATCAATAGTATAAAGTCTTATTTTAAAAATTCCCCGTTCTTACTGTAAATACTGTACGCTGACAAACTTAAAAATATATAAACAAATCAGATGTATGTGTAAACCTTCAAAACAAATTAATTCGAGTCGTCGAATTTTGTGACATGAATGGACTTTTCATTAATCTCGGTAAATGTTATTCAATTTCATCCATTCGCGATCTATACAATTTTTAATAAAAAATTAATATTTGAAGGATTATTTAGTAAATACCAGTTCTAGAATGTTAGGTTATATATAAAAACTAATTTTTCGAGATTTTCGATGGCTAAAATATCCAATAATAAATCTTTGGGAAGCCCTATTTAAAACTTACTCAGACAAACGTTCAAAAGATGCATATACAAGATGTTCAAAGGCAATTGTATAATAGGAACAAGTGGATATGTGTTTTAACAAATTAGCCAAGTCTTAAATCGAATTAGAAGATAAATGTGACAAAACTATTAGTTTTGACTAAAAAGTGGTAAAACACAAGTACTTGGGTTAGAATAAATAAAAAGTAGCCCCCGTAGACTGGGCCACAAGCCGCCACTGCTTATTTATAAAAGCCTTAAAAATTATTTTTAACTTTAAGATGCAAATAACCTTACAGGAAGTAAAAGTAATTTAAATATATTATTTAAACATGTAATATATATACACGTAATAGTACAAACGTTGAGCCTAATTATTTGTGAAAATATTTGGCGTTATGTCGTTACTGTAAATGGGTTTAAATCTTTTTGACAAAGCCGCATCAATATATTAACGTCAATTAGGATCCAGATACAACTCGCGCGTAGCTCAATGCTTGCTGTACACCAGCGGCGTCACTGCAAATTGTTATAGCGACATCTGAAGGAACGGGCTCATCTATACAAATAATAGACAAACACTACTCAACCTGGACAGACCACGAATTTATTCAAAGTTAGTACTAGAATATCACGAAGCTTTGGTTGAAGGATCTTTCAACAATATCGTCACCTTATGATGGATCGAAGGGTAACCGTCTTGTTGATTCACTAGTCAACAAGGCAGCCATAATAATATTGATAATATTGATAATATTGATAATATTGATAATATTGATAATATTGATAATATTGATAATATTGATAATATTGATAATAGTGATAATATTGATAATATTGATAATATTGATAATATTGATAATATTGATAATATTGATAATATTGATAATATCGATAATATTGATAATATTGATAATATTAATAATGATATTAATAATATTAATAGAAATTTTGAGAGAGATTTACAGCTGCCTGTAATTATAATCCCATAGTTCAGATTTGATCCTTCTAAACTGTATTATAAAATTATTTTTTTAGGAACACCTTGTACATTTCTGAATATTTTTTATTTAAAAACTGTTCACCCTTCCTGGTGTAATTTTTGCTAACAGCAATTAAGGCAACTTTCTTTCCCCTGCCTACCTCAGGCGACGCCCATGCGCATCCGACCTAATATACGAGTGGATAATAATTTGGTAAATAATTAGAGCACCCCGAATATGAAAGCTTATGGTTAGGGGGTGGTAATTGATCAATAGTGCATCATCAAGGGATGCCAGTTTTGAACATCCCTTGGAGTGTTTATCACTCTTGTTATGCACCGCTTGCATTACTAATGTCGCTTAAATATTGATTTGATTCATGCGTTCATCCCTGTTTGTTTATTAAATACCTAGAACTTTAGGCATATTAATTACTGAAATTATTTAACCTTTGTCATTTTAAAACTATCTATCGGTGTTTCTATAATGTTAATAACTTCTATTGTATTGCATGTAATACCATTAATACTGGTTTTCTAAATTTTAAAGGCTTAATTTTTAATGTGAAACGGTAATACATTGACGGTAATAATTGTAAATGAAACTACTTGAAGTATCATCTCTCAAATTACAGAAAGATACCTAAATGTTCTTTCGCAGACTTAGATAATCAATCAAGACTATATTTATCTCCTTTATCAAAGAAGCAGGTCTCACAGATTATCAGATTCGGAAAAGGGTATTCCATAATGCCAACAGAAGATCCTGCGCTACTGTTCTAAACATAGTAAACAACTGGTGCAAAAAACAACAGTTGTATCATTTACAAAAAAAAGTAGGTACTTATATGACTAAGACCACTAGTACTAAACAACATGATTATCAAATACCTCTGAGAAAAATATGCGGGAAAATCTGGGGCCCAAGCCTAAAAAGGACCATATGGTTTTTACACAGAGATAAGATCCATGATGATCTATGGATCGGTAGTATGGATAACCAAAACCTTGCAGGCAAGTGCGATAGGCCAACTCACCAGGATTCAGCGGCTCACCTATCTGAGTCATGGAGGAACGAAAGATGATTGCCATAGAGGCCACGGGTACTACACCAACTGCAAAATATAGGTACTATTAAACTTCACGCCATTGCACATCTTCATGCAAGGAGAAACTCAATCCGTCATTCACAGACTAATGCAAGAACAAAGCGTTGACCATACAAGGTTATACCAGCAACTAAAAAAAGGATAAGATTCTGGAAACGGAGACCTCCCCGTACAGGCTAACTTGTCTGGTATGCAGACGGTTCAAAAGCCAAGGAAGGAGAATAATTTAATAATATACCTATTAAAAAAAAATAAAAATAAACAAGAAAGACCACCTCAAAATAGCAACTTTTCACAAAATGTTCCTTTATTTTTAAAAATTCAATTTTTCTTTATAAATCCCGAAATCTGCGGTTGATCCACCTCTCGAGCAACTTCAAACGATCAGACAACACTTTATAAAAGAGGAATTGAACATTTCTGACCACAGTACGGTCGATGCGGCACATCATCTTCAAATACACATTTCGCAGTTGACTGACTCTAGTTAATTTCATTCTAAGTTATGTTGTGACAAATAGTCACTCGTTGTGGCTGTATTTACTGCCGGGTTTCTGTGAAGGATGGCCGCGTTATGGGTTTCCAAAAATAGCAGTTAGTTTACATAAAATTAAGTAGGATACTTTGTAGAATATCCATTTGTAATTTTATTTTTATTTCATGAGAATATGAAATACAAACTAAAAATAAACCATTTAAAAATCAAAACAAAAAATGTGATACTGTGATAATGATTTGAATATGACATAATTTATCCAGAAATGATTACATTGAATAGAAAAGTATGGGTTGGAAAAGAAATGTACAGTTAGAAAGGAAACTAATTAAAATTTAGGAGAGAAAAATTTAAAAAAAATCGACAATCCAAATAGCACACGACGTCTCAATGTCCTAAGACGTTATAAGACGTCTGACAAAAACCAAAATACAAAGAAAATAACTCTTAGTGACCTGTGATTAATAGATATTTTATCAATGAATATTTTTAATTCTATTTTTTGCATTATTTATAATCTGCAAGGTTATTCTACTAATTTTATTAACCAAGATATTCGACGTACACAATGATACTCATTTTTAAATTATTTTAATTATAAAAGTAACAAAATAAAAATAATGAACGTGTTATTTATGGCTTATTTAAGACTAATCAGACCATTATAGAGACATCTTAACGTCTTATTTATGGCTTCATAAGACTATTATAAGCCAGTAATAAGACGTCTTATTTATGGCTTCACATGAAACCATTATAAGCTATTTATAAGTTGTCTTAAAGACGTCTTAGTTATGGCTTATTTAAAGCATTACAAGACCATTATAAGCCATTAATAAGACGTGTTAAAGACGTCTTATTTAAGGCTTCACAAGACTATTATAAGCTATTAATAAGTCGTCTTAAAGACGTCTTATTTATGGCTCATTTAAGGCTTCACAGGACCATTATAAGCTATTAATAAGTCGTCTTAAAGACGTCTTATTTATGGCTTATTTTAAGCTCTACAGACCAATATAAGCCATTAATAAGACGTCTTAAAGACGTCCCTTTTGTAACATCAGACGTCTTTCTTCTAAGACGTCTTTCAAGAAATACCAGACGTCTTCAAGATCTCTAACATAAGACATATGCATAAGACGATAGCTAGTGATACAGTGAGTACGATGGAGCTGTGAACTACTTTCTTAAGTTAATTCCACGATTGATTGTATCATGCTTATATTTACTGTTAAAAAGAAAAGTTCAGAAATGTCACATATTTATTGTTTTGTCTAGCTGATCTTCTTAGATAAAAATGAAGCCTGTCATGAAATCGTTTAAACACGTATTCATTATAATAAGATTTCCTGTTTCAAGCTGGTTTTGGATTATCTAGCAAGCACATCAACCAGCGTTTTAATCATTTCATACTTGGAACGTATCAAGCTGATATAATATTTTGAAGAAATTGATAAAAACAAATGACTGATTGGAATATTTATACTGTCTAGTCTTTCTAGAGGTTTGATCATTCTGAACAAACTTTACTATAGTATAACAATTTTTATTTGAGGGTGATTCATCTGAAAAACATACTAATGCTGCGTTTGAAAAGTTCCTCGTTTTGCTTTTTTTACTCGGTACCGCCCT